GGGGTGTGGGAGCTAGTGGTTAGAGGGGGGACTTGGTTCTCACCTTGGCTACCACACGTGCTGTGTGACTCACAAGGAGCCTGTCAGTGAAATGGGATGAAGTATGTTGTGGGGTGTGTAAAGCCTTGTGGCTGGGGAGAGGGCAGAGCGGTGGGGGTGGGGGGCAGCAATCCCACAGGCTCCATTGGGTTTCTGCTGGGGATGTTGAACTGGGCCCCTGGTGCACATCTGGGGGGCAGCAGGCCATGCAGGAGGGGCAGGTGCTGGGGGAGGTGCCAGGCGGGCACGCGGGAGGTACGAGGAGGGAGTGCGTCTCTAGGCTCCCTGGGGGAGGGTGCCGGGGTTTTCACACCAACACCTCTCGACCGGCGTTAGCCACACCCCTGGGGCTGCCTGGCATTGCGAGCCGGCGGCCGGGACGGATCAGCTAGGACAGGAGTGCCCCTGCAGCAGCTGCCTGGCCTGTGATGTCACCCTTCCCCTCTCCAGCTGGCTGGGGGGTGGGGGGGCGCAGCCAGGCCGAGGCCAGCCCAGCTATGGCCGCCTTTCTCGAGCTGCCCCCCCCCTCCCCCCGGCGGCTGGAGCAGGATTTAGCACTGGTCAATTTCCCTCATCCTCCTACCAGCACCGAGGGGGCAAACACGGCCCCACCCGGCTCTGCCCCGGTCCCGTCCCAGCGCAGCACAACCCCCGGAGTCGTTAGCCGGCCGGGCCAGGCCTCAGAGAGCCCGTGAGCCGCTCCCAGGGCAGGGCAGCTGCAGCTCCCGACCCCGGGAGCCCAGAGCCCGGCTGGGCTGGAGGCAGGTTCCAGGTGGCGCTAGCCCTACTAGGCTGCACTGCCTCGCCTGAGGAGCACAGCTGGGGCTGGGGGAAGAGAGGAGGTCGGGGGGACGGAGCTGCCCCAGCCAGCCCAGGGGAGCTGAGCCGTTGGTGGCCGGGCCAGGGCACTGCTTTACTCTCAGGAGAGCCTGGCATGGTCTGGGTCAGGCAAGGAACGCTCCCTGGAGCCGCCCGCCCTGTGGAGTCACCCAAGTGCAGGCTGGGGCCCCGGGAGCTCCTGGTTTTCACTGCGGGCGGGCACAGCGGGGGTGCTGGGGGTGCAGTGCCAGGCATGGAGAGTGGAGGAATAGGGGTGCTGTGCCAGATGCAGGGGAGCATGGGGGTGCATTGCTAAGCATGGGGAGAGGATTGGAGTGCAAAGCCAGTCACAGGGGTACAGTGCCAGGCACCAGGGGGATGAGGTGCAGTGCCAGGCACAGGGAAGGATTGGGGTGCAGTGCCAGGC